CAACAACAATAATAACCATAACAACAATAATGACTGTAACAATACTGCGACTGCTACTGCTACTGCTACTGCTACTGCTACCGCTACGGCTACTGCTACTGCTACTGCTACTGCTACTGCTACTGCTACTACTATGCTACTGCTACTGCTACTGCTACTGCTACTGCTACTGCTACTGCTACTGCTACTGCTACTGCTACTGCTACTGCTACTGCTACTGCTACTGGTACTACCGCCACTACTACCACCGTCACCGCTACCACTAGCACCGCCCCTGCGATTGCTAAACTATTGCCGCTGCCAACTCTACGACGACGTCGAAGATGCGCTGTTTCTGCCACGTTTCAGGCTGCACAGCTCAACGATTTTTTGGATCAGCTTCCCGAAGTGCCTCGAAATAAGGCTCGCCACCGGTGTGCTTGTTTTGTGGACTGAGTGTACGTTCTGAAGTGCTTCACGCGCAGGTCTTCGTTGATGATTCAGCAGGGTACCAGGTTTCATCCTGAATCCTTCAATTTTCTGTATGGTGTGCCTGCCAGGGACAACTAGCTGATGTGTGAGTCCGGTTATCCTATGCAGCCGAAACCCTTCCTTGAAGGCTTACTCTGCGATGAACTTTGGTCGCCTCGGAAGCAAACCTGTGGAGGGAGTGTCCTTGGAGGTGCATGATGGGAAGGACATATGGCTGTTTCTGGATCTACAGCCGCCCTGAGGCACCCGATCTGGGAGGCGTGGATGGACTGCCAAGAACTTAGCTTGCGATGCTCGATCGTCCAACCTTGGTGTCGAATTTTACCGCAGGTTTCGCTACTTCAGCAAGATGACGTCTTTGGCTCCACAGCAGAGAGACGCAAGCGGCGTGCCGGAGGTGCGAACACTTCGCCCCCGCAGAACTGCAAAGGATTGGAGCAGAGCTTTGCGCTTGCACAGGGAGTGCTCCTTCTCGGTGGCACTTTCGTTGTACGGGGTGCAGAGGCAATGGCACCGTGGTCGTTCCTGGTCGATGCAAAATTGCCGTAGGCTTCCTTTTTGATCGGGAGGCTTTGTTCGAGGGATTGTAGCCAGAGTGCCGACATGCAGTGTCGGCAGTCCGAATCACTCAGCAGCGGCAGCGGCATCAGCAGCAGCAATAGCGACGCTTCCTGGAACTTGGTCGGCAATCAATTTGTGCAGTGGCACCCGATGACTTGGCAGGTGGCGTATGCCTGGGCAGACAGTGCGCCCGCATTCGCTCGTGATTGCTTTGCTATGGTTGGGAGCCCTTTCGACGCCAGGAATTCCTGGTGACTATCCCAGGCATGATCCTCGGCACCTGCTCGCATAGCGCATAGCGTGAACGTTCGTGACCTCTGCTCGCTTGTATCTTTGCACACGCGCAGATACTTTTCGCATGTGTGACAGAGTGTTGCAGGGCCTTTGTTCAAACACATGAAGTTGCTGGATACTTGCAACACCCCTCATATCCCTCCTCAGCATTCCTGAACCTCGAAACCTGGGGTGGCTTTTCGAAAAGCTCGGAGGCATGAGGACGTTTGGCCTGCCCGGGATAGTACGTCCCAGTAATGGGCAATGAGCCCCGAGCAATGTGCGAGAAACTTGGTGGTGTAACCCTCGCGAGTGGCACGGGCACGGACTTACAGTACCTGGCTTTCGGCCTTGCGCAGTGCCCATGGTGGCACACATGTTAAACGAAGACGAATCGTTGCACCAGCGCTGCTGCCCGCAGGTGACTGTTGTGCAGTTTGAGTACTTAGAAGAAACTTCGCGGTAACGCGTTTTTCGTACCGCTCCTTGATTTTGCGGTGATCCTCCAAGCAAAGCCTGAGCAGTACTGCGGAGCCTCTATCTATCAGTGTTTCAGGCCGGCAGAAGTTTTTGCGGGCTTGGCAGACACAGAATAGATGGAGAAGGCACCTGTGCAAGGCCGCAGCTGGTGCAAGCTTTGCAACGGTAAATCCAGGTGTCTTTGAGGGGTGTGACCAAGTCAGGTATGCCGGCTTCAGCAGCGGCCAGAGCGCATGTGTCAACCCCAGACTCTGGACTCTAGACGGTTCCGGGTTTGGCCCATGGCACCATGACCTGAGGTGACGAGCTTCAAGGTGGCTGCTGTATGGGGTCCTTGTGCATATCGTGATCTCTGTTGATGCCAAAGGATTCAATCTTGCAGATCTGAGAGCGCGGTGGCCTGCTGCAGAACCGGCTATGTATCGTGAAGTGCCAAGTTTTCCATGCTGGCGGATGAAAAAGGCCAAGTGCCACGCAGTGCCACCACCATGGCAGCCGTCCTCAGATCGATACCAACCGACCAGCCGTGAAGACAGGCATTGCTCGCTTCAACTCCGGAAAGGCCGAAACGGGACAGTGGACATGGCATTTTTGCAGCACCGCTTGCGTGGTCGAGACGAGGCCCTCCAATTCCAAGTGGTTCAGTGTAACCAGCTTGGCATCGCCTGGCCGACGCGTATTCCTCACAATGCAGAGATGTCGCGTCTGTCGCCTGCCTTGACGATGGCTCACACACAGGGCCGCAGGGCCGCACAAATATCGCATAGTCTCACAACATCTCGCAGTCCAAGCAGGTCCTAAGTCAGTCGGTGCAAGATCGAAGACAACTCCAGTTACAAATGCTAGCCGATCCAAAGTCTTCGGAAGTTTCGTTGTGTGTGGCGGCGGATGGTGGTAGCGCAATGCCTTGTGTCAGGCACGGAGTGCGTGCTCGTGTCGGGCAGACGTCGAAAGTCACGACCTTTCTTATAGGTGCTGGGCAGGGCCGGGTGCTTCTGAGCGATGTCTGGGGGCCGCAGCGCAGGCTGCTTGGCCGGCTCGTGTTCGAAGTTGCCCCCTGGTCTGGGAGAAAGAATGAAGCTTTCAGGAACGGTCGGATCCTTCAATGCCCAGGCGAAGTCATTCCAAGGACGGTCAGTCTGCGGCAACACTTCGTTGAACATCAACTCAGCGCCGCATCGAATGTAAGCTTGAAGTGCAGGTTTTCAAGCCTCCACGCGCCACACCCCATGCATGCTTTTGGCACAGATCCCGGACGAGTGGCACCTATTGTTGTGAACATGGAGAAATGCTCTTGATACCAGCCTCGCAGTGTAAGGTGATTTTCCTGACCATGGTGGATGCCAACCAGGCAACAGCATCGAAACTTCCTGTGCTTCATGTGGCTGCGCCTCGCCGCTGCTTTCTACAGGCACCTAGCTTTGACGCAGCCGCACTGCTCCTTGTAGGAAAGATATGACTCACGTCTAGCTAAGATAGCTCAGTGCTGCCGAGCGCAGCATAGCGCAGCCAAGGCTTGTCCCAGCAAAAGACCTTCCGCTGCGCACGAAAGGCGAGACGACGTGGCATTGGTGTGGCAGTTTCTCTGTCTGAGACCATGGGTGCAGGTCGTTTTGTCGTGGGTCAGTCGGGCAGGCGTGTGCTGGCCCGAGTGTGAGGTCTTTCATGCTTCCTGATACTTGGTGAGAGCTGTGCTGCCCTCATACTTCAGACGAGGTGATGCTTGCCTGCGTGAATTGGTACGGTGCATCACAGAGGTAGCAGCGTTTATGTGCCTGCTGTTGTTCTTGCTGTCGTGCGTATCTGAGACAGATGGTGAACAATGGCTTGGATGACCAGCCTGCATCTCTGCTGGCCACCAGGACGCAGGGTCTAAGATTCAGGCAAGTGTCAAACATGCCCAGAGTACTGGATATTGTGACGAGAGAAAATGTCGGGTGTGAGGATTGCTTCCTTCGGCTTCAATTGCGTCCGGCTGCCTTTCAGCTTGGTTGAAAGCTCAGTAGACAGACAGCTGGTCTGCTGGCCGTGACGTGGCCGTTGTGGAGCGAAAGGAAATGGTCCTTCGGAACGTGTCTGTTCCAAGCCTCAAGGCGCAAAGATCATGCCAGATTGTGTCGAACTCTCCGTTGGCACTGAGATGGAGGCACTTGCCGGCAATCCTGAGTGGGCTGGACTATCGCCAATGCAGGCCACTGTCAACCCAGGGATAGCTAGTCTTCGCATCCATGCTGATGGCTTCCGATTCTGGAGGTTTTCGACAAAACCGTGTCAGAGCCACGTCTGCAAGCAGTTTCGACTTGTACCGGGCTAGAGCCAGAGACTGAGAGGCCTTGACCGACGTCGGCCTGCTCGTGGTCCTCAACAATCATGTGTCATCAGCTGGTTGGTGCCTTTGCCCAGCCGGACTGGGCCATACCGGGCCCTGGCATGCCCTCGGCGCCCTTGCATTTGCTCTGCTCCAAACGAAAGGTGCTGCAGTGGGACCGATGGAGAAGGGCTTTGGTACACGACGAGGTGCGATGGCACATTGGCTTGCACACGTCGTGGTCAAAGCGGCCCGTTGGCTCGTTTGCTTGAAAACTTAGCCGCTGCTCGGTCTCGGTGCAGTCGCATGCGCAGTCGCATGGCTTGCTACGGCGTGGGGAATGCCGACTACAAAGAGTTCCTGGTGTGGGGACCGTTTGGTCTTCTTGGGTTGGACCAAGAGGATAGTTTTCGTCTGCTCCTAGCATAAGACGTATGACGGTCCTGTCTGTCGTGCTGCCGATGCTTTTCAGATACCTTTGAAGTGTGGCTACCTTGCTCATGTTCGTGCACCCATCAATCATCCTTGTCAGAAGGACATCCTGTCTTCGCACTATTTCGAATGTATTCGTCGCTGATGCCGATTTGTCCTTCTGGAACAACATTTTGTCGTTGTTGCTGAATTCGATCCGGGTCTGCCATTCTGAAAGACGGACATCACACCTTTGCAACGATGGGTCGTTTAGGGTGTAAGAGTGTAGGATATCTGATGTCAACATATCGTCGACTCGAGCTTGGGTCCAAGCGCAATCCGTTCCTGGCTTCCACACGTCCTTTCGGATTGACCCTTTGGCACGGTGAGCTTCGATTGTCTTGAATGTGCGCAGTGTCGATGAGATACCCGGGCAACCCGGTCCCGGCACTGCCAACTCTCAGATTGATTTTGGCTCTTGGGCTCGGCTTCACAGCACATTTTTGCAGAGAAACCTCAAAAACAGGTGCTGCTGTGGAGTCCGAGCACCGGATTCCGTGTTTTGCCTCGTCCTATCTCGTCCTTTTGAGTCTGTCGGTGTCACACCACGCCTGCTTTGTTTAGCTCTTCTTGTGCTGGTGTGTCTCAGCTTTTTGCTTGCACTTGAAGTGACTTCCTCTCCTCCTCGACACCGACTACAGCTTCGACTTATTTTCCAACCTGGACCGAACGTTGATGCCTGTGCGTCCTCGACACGAAGAACTATTGCAACCATGGGGACCGACTTGACTTGGAAAGACGGGGATGGATGCAGCAGATTCTTTCTAGAAGTGTGAGATTTGTGAAGGTGCACATGTTGTTAGTTTGGGGAGAAGTGTCAGGCTGATTTCTCATTGTGAGCTGACTTGTTCAGCCCAGCACCAAGATTCCCCCAGACACAAGAACACTCCCCACTCCCGGCTCAGCAGCTCCTCACGAAGCGGAACGAGCCCCTCATCCTTTCTGTATGTTAAGCTGTGCATCCCTCTTTGTCTTCGTCTTGGCCACAGTGGGCTGTCATGTGTAGACAGTGTGGATCGTTGTTTATGTGAGCATGTCCCTCCTCGTGAAGTCCAAGCTGGCCTTCTTTCAGTCTGATGATCATCTGCATGCTCTGCTGGAGGTACTCGGAGCAAGATTGGCTTGAAGGAATCGGTCTGGTTGCTCGAAGGCCAGACATCCGAGACATGGCGAGCTCACGACTCCATGACTGTCAGAATCGCCAGGTACAGAGACAATTCTCGGGTTGTTGGCTTCGACTTGAGGAGCGCGAGTGACATGCGGGGCGAAGTAGGTGCGGTTTGTGTAGAGGAACGAGGTGCGGGCCAACGGGTGCCAGACTCAGGGTGCCGCTTTCAATAAGGATGGCCAGCAGATGAGACGAAGAAGGGGAGACGGTAGTTGAATTTGTGTAGCTCGAGTCTCTGAGGATCGTTTTGCCCACGTGGGGAACGGGCGACCGGCAGACGGATTGGTCCATTGCAGCAGCGAAGGGTGCCAAGGAGGCGCCGAGCTTGAGCGCTGATGCCAACGACGTGTCTGGTATTTGTTGGACACTGTGAAGCATTTACAGACCTTTTTATGATTGCAGTAGTCTCCATCGCCCATTTCATTTCAGGTTTATAAAGCCGTTTAGGGCCATGCTATCCACTGTTTCCAGGTTGCGAGGTGCAGGCGTTGTGCATACTTTCTCCAACAGTTTTCATGCCAAGAAGGTTCGGGCTTCGTTCTTTGCAGTGTTGAACAAGTGCCCTCAAAGACTTCTGTCACAAACGCCATCT